GTGAGGGGGAGGGGGAGGGGGAGGACAGAGTGATAGAGATACAGTGGGACAAAGAGAAAGGCTATGAATTCACGTTCTAGGCAGGAATTTTTTTTAGAGCCTGGGGTTTTACGAGCTGGTGCGGATTGCCGCGGAGGAATACGGTAGCAGCAGGAGATTACCGTACTAGCTGAGCTACCGCCTGTACTACGTCAACCAGAGCTGCAAAGTTCCTCGCAGTCCCTCTCTGGAGTCCAGGAGCCGAATGTTAAACGGGTGATCGTGTAGTTATTGGCTCGTTGAAATTTTTTCCCTTTTTTTCCATTTTCACTCTTTATTTTCAAAGATCCAGGTGAGGCAGAAGGGAGCCAGGAGTTTGAGAACCTCGGCGGCGGCGGGGTGAGTCAGCGGGTGCTAAGGACTGGGACTTGGTTCTTCCCGGTCCACTCGGTCCCCAGCAGAGAAGCAGCCTTTGCGTCAGAGCTTCAGGTGAGTGCCCTGCGGGGCCGGCGTCCGCATCTCGCAGGGCTGGGTGCGCGGGGCAGGTGTCCCCAGCCTCCAGGTGACACGGAATCTCCACTTAGCCCAGCACCTCGGCTTTGGCACCCGACTGCCCGGCCCGGGTTTCCTTGATTCACCCTGGGAAGTTGCCATGTAGTTAACAAGTGTCTTTTCAGCCCCCTCTGTAACCGCCACCCCCCCAAGTGAGAGAAAGCGGGGATCGGCAGTGGCGAGGTCTGGGTATCATCTGTGGGGGTTTGAACTCGTAATTTTCCCAAGTCTTCGCCCTGGGACCCAACCCCACCCACGAGACAAAGTGGGCACGTCCCCACGCCCAGCGCTCCTGTCCCATGTCCCCTAGGTCCTTGCAGTTGTACGAATCCGGGTTCCTCAGGCAGACCAAGACACACACACACACACACACACACACACACACACACACACACCCACGCACTCCCGAATGCCACACACACACACACACACACACACACACACACACACACACACCAGAAAATCCGGGGCATCCCGACTGCTGGCACCCGGGCTTGATTTTTCTTGCGCGTTGGAAACCGCAGTCACTGGCCCTCGCAAAGCCCTCTCCGCGGAGCGCTGCGCTGCCAACCTGGTTCCCCAGCAGCCCTGGGGTAGCTCCAGGCCGACGCCCCCTGGGCTGGCGCCTCTCTGGCTAGGAAATCCAGCCTGGACCAACCCAGGTCGCTTTCAGCCCTTTGGATCCCTGGGCTCTGCTGGGAACCAGGCTCTGTCTTTCCCTGGCGCTTGGTAGATCCTCTCTGCACCCACGAGCGTCAATTCCACCCATAAAGTGAGTGTGCGCGTGGCCCTGCGGTTCCCTGGTCTCTGAGGTTCCCTCTCCCAGGCCGCCCCCTCCAGGTGACTGCACTGCAACCTGTTCAAACAAATGCACCCAGCAAATCCTCCGGATTCCACCCGTTGGGCAGCAAGGGACACACACCAGCCCAGCCGCAGTCGCGCCTCCTGGGGGCTGAGAGGGTGGGGTGGGGGTGGGGGGCTCCGGGAGTTTTATTTTCTCTCCACTGGCTATCGAAATCCAGCCTCCAGTTACTGCAACTTGGGGGGTTGTTATTTGTTTGCGTTTGTTGTGTTTTTGCGTTGGACCTAGTGAGGCGCAACCCTCCAGGGCAGCTTCCCCGCGGTGAGCGTGGGAGGAGGGCGACCCACGCTGTCCCCTCCCACGTCACCCTGTCGCCGTGTTGCCCGCACCAAGGTTCCCCGGATAGCAGAGCTGCAGGCTCCCAGCTGGAGTCCCGCTGCCCCGCGAGCTCTCCAGGGTCCCAGGCTCATCGTCCACTTTACTCTTTGAGCTTTTCATTATTTTTATTTTTATTTTTATTTTCAGCTGCATGGTGATAAACGGAGCTCCGAGGCCACCTCGGTCTCAGCAAATATTTCAGACCGGTGCCAGACAGAGAAGCTGGAGCTAGCAGGACCAATGATCAGGCTGCCGAGTTGAAAGTGTGTGCCAGCGGCAGCGCCCAGATGCCGACGCTCCTTGCCTTTGCGCTTCGACGGCTGAGCCACACGTCTCAACCTTTTCTGTGCAGAATCCGCTAGGATGGATCAGAGAAGCGGACATCACTAAGCTCTAGGATTGTATTCTTCTCTTGTCCCCTTGAACCTCTCTGCAAGCCCCCTCGGGTAGGGAAGAGTCCCGTGACTCCTGCACGCCCCTGGCCATGTCACCTTTAATCCGTGCCTCAGTGTGGCCCTCTGAGGGTTCCCAGGGCTGGCCTGGGTTGTTTCCCACCGGTGCGTTCTCTCCCTCCCCCAGCCCAGCCCTGCTGGCAGGACCCCATCAAGCCCAGACTTTTTGACTTGTGGCTCTCTTTCCCGCCTCCGCCCCCAACAGGAGGGTGGCCCTCCAGAGCCGGACTTCGCCCGGCCCCCGGCTGGCTGGGACCATGGTGTTTCTCTCTGGAAATGCTTCCGAAGGCTCCAACTGCACCCACCCGCAGGCACCAGTGAACATTTCCAAGGCCATTCTTCTCGGGGTGATCCTAGGGGGCCTCATCATTTTCGGGGTCCTGGGAAACATCCTAGTAATCCTCTCGGTGGCCTGTCACCGGCATCTGCACTCGGTGACTCACTACTACATCGTCAACCTGGCGGTGGCCGACCTCTTGCTCACCTCCACTGTGCTGCCCTTTTCCGCCATCTTCGAGATCCTGGGCTACTGGGCCTTCGGCAGGGTGTTCTGCAACATCTGGGCGGCGGTGGACGTCCTGTGCTGCAGTGCGTCCATCATGGGCCTCTGCATCATCTCCATCGACCGTTACATCGGTGTGAGCTACCCGCTGCGCTACCCCACCATCGTCACCCAGAGGAGGGGCGTCAGAGCTCTGCTCTGCGTCTGGGCACTTTCCCTGGTCATCTCCATCGGGCCCTTGTTCGGCTGGAGGCAGCCGGCCCCCGAGGACGAAACCATCTGCCAGATCAACGAGGAACCCGGCTACGTGCTCTTTTCGGCGCTGGGCTCTTTCTACGTGCCGCTGGCCATCATCCTGGTCATGTACTGTCGGGTGTACGTGGTGGCCAAGAGGGAGAGCCGAGGCCTCAAGTCCGGCCTCAAGACCGACAAGTCGGACACCGAGCAAGTGACGCTCCGCATCCACCGGAAAAATGTCCCTGCAGGAGGCGGCGGGGTGAGCGGCGCCAAGAACAAGACGCACTTCTCAGTGCGGCTGCTCAAGTTTTCCCGGGAAAAGAAAGCGGCCAAAACGCTGGGCATCGTGGTGGGCTGCTTCGTCCTCTGCTGGCTGCCCTTCTTCGTGGTGATGCCCATTGGTAAGTCTTCCCCAGCATCACTTCTTAGGATTTAGGGCATGTCAGCCGGAGACCCACAGTCCACTCCTGAGCCAGCGGAAGAGAAGAGGCTGTTGGGAAGGAAGGGCTCCCTGGTGGGAACATGAATTCTTCCCTCTCTTTCTATTCCAGTTTCCTAGGGCACTTGAGCTTCTAACAGATGCAGATTAATTGGTCTCTTTAGTAAGAATGTCAGTTTTCTTAATGCCTTTAAACCTGTGTTTCTTTTAAACCTGCCCACCCTCTTCAGAGAGAGAGTTTCCAACAAGCCCTTAGGGAGACTGGAGCATATTACTCTCACTCTGTCTGTGGGTGTGTGTGGAGAGTGAAACTCCCTCTTCGCCTGAAAATAAAGGGCCATGCAGTCTAGGCAAATGTGTGACCTTTTAATGGGATTAGGTTTTTCATCAGAATGCCTGTTATGGTGGTCGGCCTGTATCTGTGGTCATTTTATTTCTTGGATTCAGTATGGGAAGAAAATGCAGTTAAGTTACAACAACAACAAAAATGGTTTTATGTCCAAACCAATTTAGAACCTTAAAGAATTCATCTTAACATTTCCAGTAAGTGAGTGTTTATTCTTTCAATAGTGAGTTTGAAAACAGGCACTACTGTTATACAAAATCATCCTGGAAGTTGCAGGTTGAAAAGAGTACAATAATGTTGCAGATCCAATTTTTGCAGATGCAAAATTAGCTGTTGTCAAAACTAATTAGCTCATTAGAAGCATTCCACAAGCCAATCGGCTTGGAATAGTCCTCCATGGCTGACAGGCCTTCGGTATAATCTTTGCTACTTTCAGCTTATGAGCTCAAAGATAGACCCACACAGACTGGTTACCATTCACTCCAACAAGCACAAAGTCATAGTAAAAGCAAATAATAATAATCTAAGGTGCCTTTGAGTCGAAGTGCCTTACTTTGTGTCTCTGTATCACAATAACAGTTTTATTTTTTGAGTGACAGCTCTCTCTCTCCCAGACACTTTACTAGGCTTTTCTTGAGGTCACAGGTGGGAGGGAGTTAAGGATTTTTCAAGTTCTAATGCCATGGCCACCAGCCACGTGTAGCTATTTAAATGTGAATTAAAATTAAATCATATCCAAATTAAGTCTCCCAGTCCCACTAGTCACTTTTCAAATGCTCAGTAGCCACCTGTGGTCAGAGGCTATGTTTCTGGACTGCAGGGTATGGATGATTCTGCTATTGCAGGATTTCTAACGGATCAGGGCTGCTAGAGAGGCCCTTCCCACTCTACCACCTGGCCTTCCATTGTATCTGCCTGCTGTCGCTCCTAACAGCTGCTCCTGAAAGGACATTGAAGGTTTGAGTTTATCGAAGCAACACTCTTTACCCTAGCCTCTGTCTGCTTACTTTCCTCCCCAAATCCCTCCTCTTTCTGCCTCCCAAAGGTTTCACTTTTATCTGCTCAGCCCACAAATGTTTGTTGAATGCTTAGATGAGACGCCAAGGATGAACAAAGCAGAAAAGTCCTTGCCTGAGAGATGTCTACGTTCTTTTAGAGGAAATAGGCATGTGGAAATATACCTTAAAAAGTTAAGGATTCATAAGCACTATCATATCAGCAGAACGAGAGACAGACACCATGTGGACAAGGGGAACAGGTGATCTGGGAAGTTCTATGTAGTGTGGGGGATATTTGAGCAGAGCCCTGACTGAATGGAGGAGACAAGCTTGCAAAGGCCCCCGGGGAAGAGCTGGTTGGCAGAGGGAACAGCGAGCACACTGTGGGGAAGACTGACCTGCTCAACGAAGAGCAAGAGGGCTACTTTGGCTGCCCTGCAGCTAACAAAGTGGAGGGCAAGTTCAAAAAGAGATCGAGGCAGCAGAGAGCAAAGTCCTGTGGGATCTTCTTGGCCAAAGTAAAATTTTCAAGCTCTTCTACTTGTGATGGGTTTTAGCAGGTGATTGGCTAGTCTTATATTTGAAATGATTGTTATGGTCACCGGGTGGAGAATGGGTTATTGGAAGGCAAGAGTGGACACAGGGAGACCAGCCAGGAGGCTATTGGAGAAGCTTAGGAGAGAGGTCAGAGGTCCTGAGGCCTTGGCCTCTGGTGCGTATGGCAGGTGGAAGTGATGAAGTGAGCCTACACAGCATTTCCTTCAAAGACAGAGGGCACAGGAAGTGAGAAAAAGAGGAAGGAAACTAAGTGTGATTTCTAGATTCAGAGCCTGAATAACCGGGCAAATAGAGATGTCGTTGACCGAGATTAAAAAAAAAAAAAACTAGCAAATGAGAAGGCAGGAAGAGACTGGCGGAAGTGGGAAATCAGAGCATTACTTTTTCCTCTGTACTGGAAATGTCTGTCAGACATCTGAGTGGACTGCCAAGTGGGCCATAGATACTTGAATTTAGAACTTTGAGGGGAAGTAGGCTACCAGTAAAAACTGGGATGCATCAATATGTACAGCCAGAGACACGAAGAACTCTGTAAGAAAGAAGGCATTCACAGACAGAGATAAGAACTAAACCTCCAAGGAGTCTGATCATTTGGGTGTCAGGAAAGGAGCAAACAACCAGCAAAAGAGATGGAGGGCTGACCCAGGAAGAGAAAAGTTAGGAGAACATGGTGCCCCTGAGGCAGAAGGAGGATGATTTAAAAGACAAGAATAGTTGAGTGGATCACACAGAGACGCCAGTTACAGCAGGAGGAGGATGGGACACCAACAGCGATAAAGAGGTCCTAAGTGACAGAAGATGGCCAGGTGAGGCTGGTAGCTTCTGTAGACTGATGGGAACAAAGTCCAATGCAGGACTTCTAGGAAGAACAAAAAATGAAGTGGAAACAAGAAAGAAAGACAACTCTTATAAAGAGTCTTGCCAGAGGGGAGCTGGGAAGGGCATTTCTGGAGGGATCCTGGGGTGTTCTCAAAGGCAAAGGCAGAGAGTTGTGTTTATACCCTGACAGGAAAGATGAAATAGCACAGGACACTCGGTGGCACACGCAAAAGAGTAGAGAGAATTCAGTGTCCAAGGCAAGGAAGTGACTAGGAAGCCACAAGGAAATCGAGGGGTGTGGGCACCAAATCAAAATAAAGAGGGGGGTAGTCAGAGACAGCTTCAGAATATAGGTATGTCCTTAATGACATTAGAAGTAGCTCGAGGAGGGAATAAGGGAAGGGTCACTTGAGGAGCAGAGGAAAGAAATGAAATACCTTGAGAATCAGGGCTGGAGAGATGGCTCAGCTGTTAAGAGCACTGGCTGCTCTTGCAGAGGACCCAGGTTCAATTCCCAGCACTCACATGGCAGCTAACAGCCATCCTAACTCCATTTCCAGGGGATCTGAAGCCCTCTTCAGACCTTCAAAGGCATTGCATGGCACTGGTGCACCTACCTACATGCAGGCAATACACTCATACACATAAAATAAAAAATTAATTAAATAAAATATTCTTTAAAAGAAATATCTCAAGAATCAGAGAGTCAATGTATTATGGAAATCAGTCATGTGGGTACTGGGAACTGAACCCAGGTTCTCTGCAAGAGCAGCTGGTGCTCTTAACTGCTGAGCCTTCTCTCCAGCCCCATGTAGCCATTATATTAGTCTGGAGGTCTCTGCAGTACCACTGATGATGGGGCAGGTTCTGTAAGAAGACAGCATTCTTTCTGCTGGGCTGCCAGTGAGGTGCTATTCGTTTTCATTAGCAATCTTAAGTGCATTTTTGAGGCAAGATGCAAACAGACTAATAAATAAGCTATGTTATTGAAACCCACGGGACTCAAGCTCTTGAGTATGGCAAGGGCTCTCTTGGGGAGAAGAGATATCAATCTTCAGTAGACAGATGAAGAGTGAAAGAATTAAAAAGGAAATGAGGGGGTGGGGTGGTTGGCAAGCTGGGAGGTGAAAGGCCCACAAGCAAGCTAAGGAAAATCAAAGGAGTAGATTCCATTTCATCACCAAGGGTCCCAGCTCAGCCATGTGTGTGGTGACTCTTACCTATAATCCCAGCACTTGAGAGGTGAAGGCAGGAAGATTAGGAGTTCAAGGTCAGCCTCAGCTATATAGGGAGTTTGAGGCCAGCCTAGGCTACATGAGACTCTCTCAAAAGTTCCCACTGGAGAACAAGAGGAGACTTTGTCTCTGCATTGCCATCAAATGCCCCTTCTCCCCAAGTTTCTCCCCCAACAAGGCTCGGCTGCTCCTGCATTGAGCAGTGAGTGTGATCACAGGCAGGAATCTACCTGAGCTGCTTTCAAGCTTAAGTCTTGCTAGTCTTGTTTCCATTTTGCATGCCAATTTTTTAAAACAATCTTTTAAAAAATATTTTATTATTTATATTTTATGTGTATGAGTGTATTGCCTGCATGTATGTGAGTACACCCATGTCGTGCAATGCCGCGGAGGTCAGAAGAGGGCTTCGGATTCCCCTGGAACTGGAGTTAAGGATGGTTCGTAGCCGCCATGTGGGTGCTGGGAATCGAACCCGAGTCCTCTGCAAGAGCAGTCAGCGCTCTTAACCGCTGAGCCATCTCTCCAGCCCAGCCCCACATGTCAAATGTTTGATTGAAATTCAGAATCCGTCTAGCAGAGGGAGATCCCATTGGAGGTTGCTATCAGCCATTCTTAACTTGTAGGAAAGCTTGTAAAAATGAGCGTTGATGTGAAGATGAGTGACTAAAACAGAAGGCGACTGTGGAAAGCAAGAACAGAGTCTGTCCCCCGGGGACGCTCCAGCAGCTGCAGACTGATGTCATCTTTGGTACTTAACCCTTTGTCTATGTCCTACTACCTCCAGAGGTCTGAGATTCAAATGTCGGCGTTCCTTTTCATAAAACGGGATGTTCTACAAACCAGCTGTCTCCCATGATGCCTAGCACGGAGCAAATGATAACAAATGCTAATCTTATCAGGATTTATGAGAACCTTTTATTCTCATGAACAAATTATTACTGATGTGTTGAAATATGGCTGTTGCTGTTGCTGTTGGGGCAGGGGTATGTGGGGTACATATGAGGAG